AATGTAATATATTAGAAATGTTATAAAATTGTGATGGAATAAAATGTATTTAACAAGTTTTGAACTTTATCCCTGTTAAATATTCAAACTTAAAAATAAAATATTATAACATTTGATAATGTTCCCAACATTTAATAAGATAAAAAGGTAAAGATGGATATAATAATTATTGAAATGACCTATAAATAAAATTAAAATAAATACTTTTTATCTTATAAATAAGATCAAAACTCTATAAATAAGTTGGAAATGACTCTTGAAAAGTTATCAAATTGCATGTTCTGAAATTCACTTCTTAGTCAGTTACCAAAATCCTTTTGCAATGTCAATTTACACCTATTATAATTATCCAAACAACATTTGACATTTGAAAAGTTAAAAAGAGCTTTTGAAAAATGAGAAATAACAAATCCAAAGGCATCCTTAAAGTTGACTCTTTTAATGCTAACATTGTTTCTTCTGATATGTTTGATAGAACTAGTGTTGGTTGATTTTTTGTCGAATATTGTTCTTAGACTGTTGCTGTTTTGTTTTTCTATCTTTATTTATGTTTTTTTTTTGGTTGATTTAGTTGTGTGTTAGTTTGTACTGTTAGGTTTTTTTAGGGTATTTTGGGCTTCAACTATTAGTGTTTGTACTCTTTTTTTTTATTAATAAAACTGACTTTGTTTTTGGCCAGAAAAAAAATTATAGCGGATTGGTAGAAAATTTGTCTCCACATTAAAAATACACAAACAATTGGAAAAGGAATTGTGCAAATTCATTATCTTTTTTAATTTCATTTCTCTTTGAATTTATCCTGTTGTTAAATTTTACTGTTAAAAAAAATGCATGTTTTGTTATATGATTTTGGGGAAAAATCAAATTGATTAGAGGAACTTTCATAATTTTTATTTGATTTATTTAGTTTAACATTAGTAGGTGATGATATGTATAAGATCAAAGGTGTTTTACTTAGAAAGTTACAAAAAATGTTATAAAAAAACTTTATTATCAATTTGACATATTGTTTAAAACTGGATGATTGAATTGGTTTTTTTTATTATATATTTTTATTTACCGAGGAGATGTCGTACACAAAAAAAGTTAAAAAATGATTTTTTTAAGTATTCCTTTTAAAATAAAAATTCTCAATATTTCTTGGGCATAATTAATTAAAAACAACCCAAGGTGTGAGTAATCTGGACGCACTAAGAGGTCCACCTAAACGCATCCGAAGGTCAAGTCTAACTATAGCTTTCCACAAACAAATATTATTTTTTTTAAAAAAAAGATATTTGACCATCAATCTTTGTCTCAAACATATACTGTTCTATTTTATAATAAATGCATTAAGAATATCAGCAATTAATTGGAGTACATTTCACGGCCGGACTTGAATGTGAAGAATTTCTCAACGCGCAATTAAATTGGAAATTAAAGTGTTTTTTCCTCCCTATTTAGCCCCTTCATTGGTTTGAGTATTTTATACAAGTTTGAAAAATATCGTAAGTACTATTTATATTTTTTAATAAAGTAACTGAAACGAAGCAGCCTTTGTATCTTTACTGTGGTTTTTGGTTAACCAAAGTATGGATCATTGGGTCTCAAACCAGGTCGCGTGTGCAAAGTATCGAGGCATTTGGCAGGATTATTTATTATAGAAGTCTAGTACCATGTAATATAACTCATAAATTTGCATTTTTGTTTCATATCTGTGAGCTGTAAAATTATTTATCAATATTTTATGATAAAATAATTATAACATTTTACCATTAATAAGAAATACACTTAATTCATTCAATTTATAATGCAATATAATTTATTTTTTATAGAATTAATACAATTTAAAAATTTAAAAATTATTTAAATACTAAAGATTATTAATTACATCATCAATGATATTCAATTAAAAAAATCTTTGAACAAATGTGTGATTTATAACTAAAATTTTATTAAAACATTTTTATTTATTTCTCATTTACTTTTCATTAATTGTATAATCTGCATATGTTTTAATAGCTATTTTGTAGAGAAACAAATTCATTTTTCATATAATTTATCTTTAAATTTTATAATATTATATAAAGTAAAATTCAATAATTATAACCTAAATGAAATCTATAATTTATGTGAGGCTTTAGATGATGTCTAACGGATAGCCACAACCCTGTCTCAAAATATTATACTTATGTTAAACAGAGTAATAAATAGTGAAATATGATAGTAATTTATCATACACACACACTGTGGAGGAGATGGGGATTGATAACAAATAAATGATCAAGATTATTTAAATGTTTCAATAAATTAGATTTGTTTTTACTTTACTAAATCAAAATATAGACGTGTAAATATAACATTAAAACTTGATCGAAAGGTGCAACACGATAAATGCATTAGTACATTTTGGGTCCTTATTTTATTAGCTAACAACTATCACTTTACCTGATTTAGAAAAAAGTTAAACACCCTAAGTGTGTCAAATTATTTATGTTATTTTTTTACATCACTTAAATAGAACAAATTTATAAAATTGAATTGCACCTTGACACATTTTATCTTGAGTTGTAAAAAAGAACTAATCAGTCTTTATAAACTTAATTTTTATAAGCCTGACCTTTAAGAATTCAAGCTCACAAGCTTACATGTCTTAAATTGATCATATTTTTAAGTTTAACCTTTATTAATAAGACTCAAGTTGTATCTAAAAATTCACACAATGTTTTTTTTAAGATGGCCTCAAAAAGTACAGGGCCTAAATGATAGTTTGAAGGGTTTGATTCTTATTGACAGCCTTAATTTCATTAACCATCTCACCCTCTATTTGCACATAATAATAATAATAATAACAACAACAACAATCACATGAAGACATAGCTCAATCGTATTTTGAAAATTATTATTTTTAATGAAGAGACATTTGTGCGCAATATCAAAATAAGGCCATGCTAATTTAAGTGTTGGTTTTATATTTCATTTTGACCTAATTTAAATTACTTGATATCTAAAGTGACTACAGGTGGTTTGATTAAAATGAAACCTCACCTACAACTACAATTGATTAATAGAACGTGATAATATTTAGATAGTATTTGTTTTGTTTAAAATTGATTTGCCAAATGGAGAAAAAATTAGCTTATATAAAATGAAATTTCAAGAACCAAATGGAGTTTAAAAAGACTGGATATGCTTGGTTATCTTGTACAAAAATAGAATTTCTGGAACCAAATGAAGTTTGAAAAATATGAGATTGCATTTGGATAGGTGAATTTAAGTTGAAAATTTGAATTTAAAATCTTACATTTGAAATCTTACATTTGAAATTCATAAATTCTAAATTCTTTATTTAGATGATGTAAAAATTTTTAAATTATAATACTAAAATTCTTTATTTGAATTTAAAGTAAAATTCTAATTTTAAATTTCATATTTAAATTTAAAAGAAATTTGAATGACTGGTCAAAGTTGACAGTTCACATGGCCAATTTATTGGGATTAGATAGTCAAAACTAATTGGGATAGTAACACTGGCGACGATCAGGACCGGACGACTGACTTTGATGAGGACTAGATCGACGACAATGATAGGGACCGAATGACCAACTTCCAATGGGACTTGACTGACAGCAATAGGACGATCGACTTCTAGCAGGATCGGACCTACAGTGACGATAGGAATCGAACGACCGACTTCCACCAGGACCAAACCCGATGGTTGACTTCCACTTAGACCAAACCTACAGTGACCATCAGGATAAGATGACTGACTTTCACTAGGATCAAATGACAAACTTCCATCGAGACCAAACCCGGTGGAAGTCAACTATCGGGTCTTGGTGGAAGTCGGCCTTTCGATTCATATTGTCGTTGTTGTTCTTGTCCTGGTGGAAGTCGGTTGTTCAGTCTTTGTCATCATTGTTGGTTTAGTCCTGGTGGAAGTCAACTGTTTGATCCTGTCAATGGTGGCAGCTTGTTTCTGTCAACTCTGGCGGTCCGATCTAATTACTGTTGGCTGCCATCAAGCCTCCGTGAATTTGGATCAAATCCAAATCCATACATTTTTAATTACCCAAACAATAAATTTAGCTCAAATCCAAATATATATATATATATAGATGTATCTAAATATAGCATGAGAGTATTATAACTTTTTCTAAAATGATAGTTTTGGATTTCATATTTTTTTTAATAAAAGGCCATGAAAAAACCATGCAAATAAACAAATTAAGTCATATCAGTGTACGAAAAGTTTCTACAACCAAAAGATGGACTATCAAAAATTTAAATAATTGAGTTGTTGGGAAAGGCTTGGTGGGTCATCCAATCTACACATTTGTTAGCCTCTCTGAAAACATGATCAAAACTGATTGGCCAATCATGCATAAGAAGATCTCTAGTTTTATTAATAGTTGCAAAAAGCAAATGAATATTAGAAAACTCATTGCGTATGAGCATAATTGCTTTAGTAGAATCAGAGTAGACATTGACTCTGTTAAACTTTTCTGCTCAACTAATATTGAGTCCTTCAAGAATGCCCATGACTTTAGTTGCTGTGTTGGGATGGTAACCAAAAAATTTAATAAAGCCTTTGATCCATCTACCTTGATTATTTCGAATGAGTCTATCGCAAGAAACAGTCTTTTAATTGTTGATAGAGCCATCTGGGGAGTATTCAATTATGCGACCTATGTTATATTTGGAATGTTAAAATTCATTTGTTATTCATAAATTATTCTCAAAACTGAAACTTTGGTCAGGGGAGCAGGACGCTCCAGTTGATAGATGAGAAGTGGTACGTGCTCAAATTGTAGATCTCAGATCTCTCACACTTACCGTCGTCATTATTAGTCTCCTTCATACCTTTAAATGCTTGTGAAAAATCGGCGAATAGTACGCAGCGAGCCAAATTTTTCTTTCGACTCTTTCTCTTTCTTCGGCAGTTCCGCTTTACCGCGTTACCTATTTCTCATTCCTCAAGAAAGGAACATAACATAACCATCAATGCGCGCCCGCGCACGTATGTATACATGTGTGTGTGTATACATGTTCATGCCCCAATTTGAACTCTTCAACTGAATTCAATTCAAAACCCTCGTGGCTTCTGCGAGTCTCCCAGTTCCTAATTTTCTATTCAACATAACCCAATTCACAATTATTTCAAACCAAAACGGGTTTCCAAGAGGAGGACTCGATTTTCTGCACTTTTTGTCTTCTACGTGTTCCAAGAATTACATTCAGTAAACTTCCATATATATACGTTTCATGATTTTCCAGTCCTTTTCCTCTATAAAAGGTGCACGCTAGCTTCCCATTTGGGAGCGTACTCAGGTTCTTTCTTCTACCACACAAGGTGAGTGACCTCACATCTCTTTCTCAATCCCCTGTTTCTTCAGCTTTTCCTTAGCTAAGCTTTAGTTCATGTCTCCTTAGTCCCTACCTCTAGAGCCTTGTAGTTGCAGTGTAGTGTAGGTGTCTACTTATACGCCTCTGTTCTGTCTGCACTTAAGTTTATCAGACATCAGATAGAAAAAAGAAGGCTCAACTTGTCTTGCAACCTTCATGTGTGTCCCTGATGAAGTAGTTTATTACCTTTCGTTCTGTTTGTAATTTTGAGACGTTGCGGTATTTTATCAGAATCAGAATTCAGATACAAAGACCCAAATTTTAAAATGATGTCTCTGTTCTCAGAATTGCTTGCACGTGATTTGAATGTTCTGCAACCTGCATTTGTATATAAGAATGTTAAGTCCGCCATTAAATGGTCAAAGCTAATAATCAACGGGGAATGGTCTTTGTCTTGAATTTTCACCACTGAAGAGAATTCTAAACTGATGTGTTTCTTTCTTTTTTGCAGAGGAATGGAAACAGTGGCTATCAGACCAATGGACTTCGAGTCCAAGGAAGGAGAGATCACACTGAGAACAAGCAGTTGCAAGAAGCGAAGTTGCAGCGATTTCTATAAACCTGATAAGCTTGATGAAGTTATTGCCAAAGAATCTACATGTCCAAATAAAAGGAAGGCAGCGAATCTGAAGCTCCAAACCACGTTCTCATTCAAATATCTAATCCCTCAGAATTCCCATTTGGAGGAAAAACTCGAGGACACGTACTTGTTCAACAAACAAAACTCCACAGTCCTGCTAGCAAAACCAGAAACAACATGGTTCTCTCCGAAGTCCATTGGAGAGCTTGAGGTAGCTGCAATTAAGGTGCAGAAAGTTTACAGGAGTTATAGGACACGAAGGAATCTAGCAGATTGTGCAGTTGTTTGTGAGGAACTCTGGTATGTTAGCTCTATACCAAACTTATGCATCTTTCTCTGATTTTCTTTGAAAAATGTTATGATTGTTAAATACGTGATGTGTTGTTGGGGCCAATCCACGTCGACCAACTTGACAAAAAATGATATCCAGGGACATGAGTTGCTGGTCAACTCTGTCAGCATTAATGTGGAGCGTTCATTGGATAATAAATTTGATTCGAAGAATTTGAAAATTTATCAGTAATGAACAAATCTTAGAGACAAGCGCGTATCGTTTTATATGCTCATTATAATTTCATGCTGTAGCATTAACTACTTCAAGTTCATGATTGAAATACTAAGTGGGTATAATTTTTATTAAACTCTTGCAGGTGGAAAGCTATAGACTTTGTAACACTGAACCGATGCTCTGTATCATATTTTGACTCTGATAAATCAGAACCAGCTCTTTCAAAATGGGCGAGAGCAAGGACCATGGCTGCTAAGGTATCTCTTTTCATGTTGGAACTAAAGTTACAATTTTTTTTTTTTCGACTTTGACTAAGTTGCCGAGACTGGAATGTCTTTTTGACGTCATTCAAAATAATGCATATGTTCTTTAAGCCATATTTTTTCGTTGCCTCAAACATAATTAAACTTAAACTACATATCATCTAGCTTTCTGGTTAGATCTTTGACTAAGACTATTGGGAGAGACAAATTCCAAGTTTTCATTTTCTTCTTAAGAGTCCAGAATTTCTTTTTGAATCCGGTCGAACGCCTATGAATTTTTTTTTTTTTTTTTTTCTGTTTGGTAGGTGGGAAAAGGTTTGTCCAAAGATGAGATGGCCCAGAAATTAGCGCTAAGGCACTGGCTTGAAGCTGTAAGTTAATTCAAATGAGGGGATATGTTGACCATTATCTGATTCTTAAGCTCACGTTTGCTAAAATTTCTTCATAGGGATGGATCAAGGGCTAAGACTTTTCTTGGTGTTATTATATGCAGATTGATCCTCGTCATCGATATGGCCACAACCTTCACATCTACTATGATGTCTGGTTTCATAGCCAGAGCTCTCAACCTTTTTTCTACTGGTAAATTTCGGCAACACAAGCTTTCCTACGACAATTCTTTCACATAACCATAATATATAAATGTTTTTTATAAGATAGTAACACACTATTTATAATTCATTTGTTTTAAAAAATTCATCTCTATGACATAATCAAGTATTAAGTCTAATATAACCAAAGTTTAGATGGTAAACTTAAACATACACACATTCACGTGATTGTACATATACACACAACTAGGTGAATTCGTTGAATTTAAGGAATAGATCACATAGATCATGGCTTGTAAATAATAGCACTTGCCTTATATTTACATTGAATTGATGTATTCTAAGATTACATACGTCAGCGAACATTTAATCGCCTACCGATGAAAATTTTAAAATTTATATTTTATTTTAATATACACACGCAGCATATCATATATACAAATTTGGTTTGACCTCGAATTTCTCCTGCACAGATTCTTTTAGATGTAAAATGAATAAAATTACTATTTATCAATTTGAACAATAATTCGAGTCACTAAGATTAAAATTGATAAAACTTGAGTCTTTTTTCTTTGAAAACTCTGATTTTTATTTCCTTTTCTGATCTGTAGTCTGTAATTTGGTTTGTATTTCAGGTTGGATGTTGGAGATGGGAAAGAAGTAAATCTGGAGGAGTGCCCAAGAAGCAAATTAATAAAGCAGTGCATAAAGTACCTGGGACCTGTAAGTCTCTTCTCACCTCACATACACAGTATACAGATCGTTTGGACTTCAAGTTTCATTTTTTCTTTCTCCTTTGTGTTGCTTTGATTTTGCCATATATCAATTATATAATTGGCATTCCTATTAATTTAATGGATGATGATCAGATTTTCGATTTCAAACTTTTGTCAAAAAAGCAGCTAAGTCGGTTGGTTTGAATAATTGTTATTGCAGAAAGAGAGAAAGGCATATGAAGTGAGTTTGAAGTGTGGGAGGCTTGTTTATACACAAAGCCAACAACTTGTACACACTCATGAGGGATCCAAGTGGATTTTTGTCCTAAGTACGTCCAGAACTCTGTACATTGGCGAGAAGAAGAAAGGCCAATTTCAACACTCTAGCTTCCTTGCTGGAGGCGCCACCATTGCTTCTGGAAGACTGGTTGCCCTCCATGGTGTTCTTCATGTGAGACTCAATAATCTTGCTTCACACTTCACATACGCGCATATGTAGATAACCAGTAGATACACTGCTTCCGAACCTTTGTTATAAGGACTTCCTACATGTTTCTTAATGTAACATGCTTTTTCTGAGGCATTAATTTTTTCCACGTTGTATTAATTCTTGATTAAATAAATAAATTCCTCAAACTAATGACTTTTAATGAGGGTAATTTTAAAATTTTACAAGAAATAATTAATCTTGATAATTGAGGAAAAAATCAATATATTGATGTCAGTTCATTTGCCTATGTTGTTGATCAGGCTATATGGCCCTATAGCGGTCATTACTGCCCAACCAAGAAGAACTTCAAGGAATTTCTTGGCTTCTTGCAAGAGCACAATGTGGACTTGACAAATGTAAAGGTAAAAAACCAGAATCTGATCAAGCTGCCTTTTTCCGTACGACGCCTTCATAGTATTTGGATAGTAACATATTCATCTGAACCCTGTCCAAAAAGGTATAGTCATAGAAACTATATTAAGCATTGGATTTAGGCATTTAGCCGACCAATCATAGGGAAGGATAGATAATTTAAAAATATCTTGGAGAAACCATGCATACTTGTTTTTTTAATATTTAAACCTTGTTAAAATGTATATATGATGAATTAAAACAGAACAGCTGCTATTTTTATTTATATAAAAGGCTCATAAACTGACGTGGATCTTTTTCTTTCCAAATTTCCCAAGTAGGGCCATCCTGATCAACCCTCTTCCAAATTTTGACCTGCAACTCCAAGCGATAACTCTTTTTGAAATGGGTTTTTGCAGACATATGCTGTAGATGAAGACGTGCCTCCTCCTGAACCAGTAGATGACAAGCATCTGGGCCAGCAATGCCTGTCTACGGCGGAAGCTAATGTGGGTCCCAGCGAGGCAGCCATTAGCACAGCAGAAGTGGTGGGTCACCACCACCACGGGACCACCACCACAACCAAGGTGGCCGTGGAATCTTCTTCTTCTTCATCTTCTTCTCAACAAAAAATCGCTGACAGGTCTATGTCAAGCAGCAGCAAATGGACCACTGGAGCTGGTCCTCGTATTGGTTGTGTCAGAGATTACCCAACAAACCTCCGAGTTCAAGCCCTTCAACAGCTAAATCTCTCTCCCAGACTCACTCATAGTCATCATCACTCTAACCCTAATTTCATGAAGCTGCCTATTCCCTCTCCAAGACCTTCTTCTCAATTCCTCTTATCGCCCAGACTTGTTCATCTGAGTCTTCCTCAACCTCCTACCCCACTTAGGTAGTGTTTGGATGGACGTGAAGGGGGGGGGATTTTAAAAATCTTTCCCACTCTCTTCTCCAAAACGTCCCTCCCAATTTGAAAGATGTCCCCTCCCCTCTCCCCTAAACCAAACAGGGCTTTAATGATGATGACACTCTTTCAAATCAATAAAAAGAAAAAAAAAATAACATTGACGATACCCTCATTAGGTCTCTCTCTCTCTCTCTCATCAAATAAATTAATAATGATATTAATTAGTACCCTTGGGCCTGTGAATGAGTGAGGTTATTATCATGGTTCAATGTTTTGACGGGGTTAGGTGTATAGGCACTCATTGGTCACCCCAACTTTTTATGTTTGGACCATTTATTTACTTGAGTTTGGAGGAGGACAAAGGGACACAAAGTAGAAGCTAACCCAATATTTGTTGTTGTTGTTGTTGTTATTTTTTTTTTTTTAACTTCACATTTTTTCTTTCTTTGGTTAATTTCTCTTGGCCTAATCTTTTTGTCATTTACTATCATTTGCTGAATAATATTCTCCCTCTCTCCTTCGGATGTTACCCAATAGTTTTTTGGGGTCCGGTCAAGATCCCATTCTTGTAATTCAAATAATGCTAATGATATAGTATTTTTTTTTTTCCTTTTCCTTTTCCTTTTCTTTTCAATTTAACTTTCCACCTGTGACATTTTTTTCTCTTTCTGCAAAATTAAATTTGCCAAGCGATGATTCCGACCCACATCAGCATGCTCAACATACAGATAATTTGGACATAAATAAGCTAGCATGATGTCTTCAACCCACTAATTAAGGAGTTTTCTTTGGCCATGACATAAGAAGTTCAAATTTTCGTCATTTTTATGATATCATTCAAATACATTGGATACCGATTGATTTGAGTAAAAAGTAATCTTTCTTGAGGTATTGAGGATAAATAGTATATCATTTTGATCTAAATTTATTCCACACATAAAGACTATGAACTTGAAACTGTCAAAATCTAATGCAAAGTCTACAAACTTGAACTAGTCAAAATCTAATGCAAATTTTGAAGGTTGACATATTTAGATAAGAATATTGAACATCAAATTATCAAAATAATTTTTCCCTTTTTTTTCTAACCAATATCCAAGATGTCATTCAAAAAGCGACAAATCTACGGTTGATAGTTTTGAAAATAGAATAGAATGCTTTGATTGGTAAGAGTGATGAGGCGGGGCATTTGATATTGGTTGTGGAATTTCTAAGTCAAGATATGGTTTGGTTATAGAGAGAACAAGGTTAAATGCATAGGAGGATGCGATGGTTTAAAACTTAAGATTGACCAAAATTCTTAAAAAAGTGAGGCATTGAATATTTGACTTGGAGTCCAAACTCCTATTCATTTGACTCGGACTCTTGACACAATGTTACAGTAATTTACCTTGTACAGCTCTATATATTCTTCAATCTTCATCATGATCATTAAGTGGTGAGATCTTAGTGACAATAAGCCAGACACATGAATTAAGAACAAAGAAAATCCACCCATCTCTCTCATTCCTTCCTTTTTCTTCATTTTTTTTACTGCATTAGTAAATTCAAAAACTTGGCCGAAGAAAAAAAAATTAATGCAATAAAAATGGGAACTAAACTCTTTAGGCAATTGATTATATATTCTCGGAACGTGTAAATAAGGCAAGAAATGGGGTGGGAGTCGGGAGGCGTCGGAAGTATTTGTAGCCCAAAATTTACTAATATAATAAAAAAGTTATTTTAGATGATTTGGAATTTATCTATTTAATTATTCTTAAAATGAAGTTTTTAAATTGTATTTTACCCCAAAATTGAGATGTGTCGCAATTTCAAATTTAATTACTCCAAGATTATTATTCATACACACTATATATTATTTTCATTGCAAAAGCCTCAACAAAACTAAAAGTTATAGGGTTGAAAATTTAATATATCACAATCTCATTGCCTCATCCCTGATAAGGGATGTGCACGTTGCTTGAAAGACAGTCAGCTCGGGCATTTTCTGAGCCATTGGGCCGTACATTAAGTGAGGGTCAAGTTTCAGCATCTTCCCTTGCTCAACCCGACCCGAACATATTGCATTTTTTCCCCTTCAATATTTTTGTAAAAAATATTTATTTTAAAGTACTATTTTTTGTTGAGAATTGTCATTTTCTATATTTTTTTATGATTTTTTGAACATTCCTTATCATTACAATTTTTTTAATCTTTTTCAAAATTTAAAATTTATTGTTAACTTAATATCATTTAAAAATAATTGACAGTTGATCAAATGTAATTTTAAAAATAATTATTTTTATTCTAATATTAATTTCATAAAAAAATTATAAATGATAATAATAATTTTAAAAATAACATTTATTTTAAAAAAAAAATTTGTCAAGTCAAATTTAGCTTGAACATTTAGGTATCGAGTTGGTCCAAATTGTACATCAAGCTAGGCACAAGATAAAGATGATTCCTAACCTGGCCCAAGCGCCCCCCTAATATTAACCTACAATGGGCTATGGTTTGTCTTTTGAATTAGAGTCAAATTTTGTTTTAAAAAGAAAAAGGAAGAAAGAAACTCTTAATTATTTTGTGGATGTATTTGAAAAACCACAACTTGAGATCTATTAAAGCAAAAAAATGGAGAAAAGGGAAAAAAATTTAAAATTAATGACTTGATTGATGATAAACTTGTATGAAAATTAAAGGATTGATTTTAAATCAACTTCATAGAACAAAATAATAAGAAAAAAATTCAATAAAGACCCCTTGATTATATTTAATAAAAAAGAGAACTCCATAAATTTTAAAATTTCACAACAATCTAAGGGTACTGTAGTAAAATTAAAATGCTAAGAAAATTACCTACCTATCCCAACTGAAAGATAGTTGTTTGTCCGTTACTTTAAGTTGTATATTTTCATGCATGTACTATTATTTATTATCTTATATTAAGTTGTTCATTGCCTTGCTATCTATTGTTTATTCATTAATTTAGTTAATAATCAACTTTTTCCCTTGCTTTTGGACATTTGTAATGGATAAACAATAGCTGGCAGGACAATAAAAAACTTAATTATGATAATGAATAATAGTATATAAAAAAACGAACAATTAATGTTAGCATGATAACAACATTTGAAATAAAATTAATTGAAAGTAATGGATAAATAACAAACAATAAGGGCAATGAATAACTTAATGTAGGGTAATAAATAATTATGTGTAGAAAAATGAATAGCTCATAATAGCATAATAACAACACTTAGAATGAAATCAACTAAAAGTAATGGACGAACAATAAATAGCATGGCAATGAAAACTTAATGTAGGATAATGAATAATAGTATGTAAATAAACGGACAACTAATGTTTTTAAGATGATAACATTTGGAATAATATCAATTGAAAGTAATAGATAAATAACAGATAATAAAGCAATGGACAATTTAATATACAGTAATGAATAATATTATGTGGGGAAACAAATAACTTGAATTAGTTTGACGATAACACTTGAAATTAATTCAATTAAAAATAATGGACAAACAATATACAATAGGATAATAAACAAATAGACAATAAGAAAATGAACAAATTGTGTTTACATTCTTCGGGTATGTTTTGTGGAGATGATTAATTTTATCATTTCTCTCAGCCTTTTAATTTCCTTGTAGTACTTTTAAATTGCAGTGAAATTTCAGAATTTTTAAGGTTTTCTTTTTTTATTAACTATGATCAAAGGGTGTTTATTAAAATTTTTTCAAATAATAAACCAACTTGATCGTCGGAGCGGGATAGCGCTTACTGGGTTAACTAATTTATTTGAATGTCTTTATTTACAACAAGTCAACAACTATAATATTTACAAGTCATAAATAATGTGATTTATTACTGACATTCTCTTTGATTCACCAGAAATGTTAGTGTATCAGTATTAATATACATTATGGGCTTTTATTGAGGAGGTTTTTGTCTTCTTGGCCTATGTTGTTCTGTTGGTTCAACCAAAAACTGGCCTTTTACAAAATAATTCGTAAGGTTAAAAAAAATATCATTAAAAAATTGGGACCAAGAGTCTCTTCACTTCTCTTTGTTTTTCTCATCTTAACCATTTATATTATTTTATTAAATAAATTTTTTAAAATTAAAAATAATATAAATAATTGAAATGAGAGAAATAGAGAAAAATGGGGAGAAAAAAATTGTAAAGTTTCTCTTCCAAAAAACTTGTGCCCTCAATGGAAAGCACGGCCCGCGTTATTTCTTCAGAAACGGCGTCGTTTGGTTGCTGTTTGCGACGGTCGTATTTATGACTTGTCAACACCAGAGCAGGAAAAAGAAAAAGAAAAAGTCAATTTGTATCCGTTATGTTCTGTGTCATTTATTCTCTTTGCGTCACAAGTTTCAAATTTCAAAACTCTGCTCCCCCCCCCCTCTCTCTATAACTTTCATTATTTGCCTAATGCCTTAATTAAGGCAGCAGAAGAAGCAGACCACTGAACCTCGTGATAACAAAAACCTAACCTAGGAAACCCACAATTTTGCATAATACCTTGATCTGCTCTTCTGCTCTGCGAAAAGGAGTTAATTTCCGATTTCTCCAATGGGAGGTTCCGGAAAGTGGTTGAAATCACTCATTTCTTCGAAAAAGTCCTCCCCAAATGATCGAGTAAGTAACTTTGCTTATTAAACGTTGCAATATGGTTTATGATGTTATTTAATATCTTTCTGTTGCTGTTTTTTCCCTCAGGAAAAGACAGGTTCTGAGAAGAGCAAGAAGAAATGGAGGCTATGGAGGAATACTGCTGAAGGGATGGGATCATCCACGAGAGGCATGACGAAGAAGAGAAACGAGGTAGTGTCAGACAAGTCGGACACTGTGTCGAAAGATGCATTTACTGCCGCCGTGGCTGCTGTGGTCCGGGCTCCACCCAAAGGTTTCTTGTTGATCAAGCAGGAATGGGCTGCCATTCGTATTCAGGCCCTGTTTCGAGGATTCTTGGTATGTAGTCTCATATTCAAATGCAAATTGTTTATACTCTGCGTTATTCTAAGCCTGTACTCTAGAATTATGCTTGTATCATTCTTGGGGCCTAAGATTTCACATTCCAGCCCAACCGTGAGAAATGTTAGTCTATGAGATCACACGAAGTTGGAGATTAGTTCTAGTAGCATATTCCGAGTTCAATATATCTCCTAACCTTTTGCTGAAGACACAATACTATGTGGACTAGTACTTCTGTTTCTCTAATCTGAAATGAATTCAATCATAGTGAAACTTCAATATGTGAGAGGTAAGTTTTTCCCGAGCGAGTGAATTTGATATCTACTGAGAAAATTATGGGGAGTACGCTTCTTTCCCTTTTATTTGAGTTTAGCTAGATCAGCTAATTGCAATAGTTATATCATTAAGCTTCCATTCTAGAGGAATGCAATTTAGATTAGAGCTCTTAAAACTGCATCAATCCTCACTGATATTATCCCTTTTTAAATGCTATAGCTCTGTAAATTTACTAGGGAGATAGCCAATGATTTTTTGCCCCCTTGTTTCAGAATTTGATTAACAAACATGTTAACTAATTGATTATGATAAATTGGATCATATTTTGTGGTTTTTACTTCTGCAGTGCCTGGATGTGACCGAGCGTGAAATATTAGTACATTAAACACACGTTTATCATGGTTTCATCTTTTCCATTGTTATTTTTTCCTTCCCATGTGGTGGTTTCATACTTGTATTGGATTTGCAGGCAAGACGAGCATTAAGGGCCTTAAGGGCAGTGGTGAGGATTCAAGCTATATTTCGTGGGAGGCAAGTGAGGAAGCAAGCAGCAGTAACTCTGAGGTGCATGCAGGCTCTCGTCAGAGTTCAGGCCCGCGTGAAAGCAAGGAGTGTGAGCTTGTCTCCAGACAGGAAACACACTCAAGGTAATGCTCTTAAGCAAGCTGAGGTATGTATTACAAACTACATTTCGCAATTTGCTTTCATAATTCATCATGCGACATATATGTACTCTTGATGATGTTTTAACATGGAACTGTCTGTACAATGAAACTGTCAGAGAGGATGGTGTGACATTCCAGGAAGTGTTGATGAAGTCAAAGCAAAGCTACAAATCAGACAAGAAGCAGCCATCAAAAGGGAGAGAGCAATGGCATACTCTCTCTCTACACAGGTAATCAGAACTTTAGATGTTCAGAAGATTTACTGATATGGTTGTTGGATTGATGCCAGAGCATATTCTAGAAGTGTGGTATACAATCTAATGCTTTCTTTTGTGGTTTAGTGCCTGGAGTCGTAGTCGTAGTGCATAATTCATCCCCTATGTCTAGAACATTATTGAATTTATTTTAAGTTCTAACTCAATTTTCCTTTTGCTGCTTCATTGATGATATACATTTGAGTAATGAACATGGATGACCTGCGCACCTGCATTTGATTACCAATGTACATGCATGTACATTGATCAACATTTTCTAGTAGTTCTTAAGTGTTTTGTGATAGGGTTTTTTTGTAGAATCATGACACTTGAAAAACTTGTTCTCAAGGAATTAATTAATGATGTAAAATTAGAGAAAAAAATCTTACTGTTTCTTGTTTTCAGCAATCCAAAATGAGTGCTAGCCCAAACTCAAGATTCTCAAGCCAATGTCTCCACTCAAGCATGACAATCTTGACAGTAGGAGCTTGTTAGAGCGGTGGATGGCAACCAAGCCATGGGAAAACAGGTTGAAGTCAGAGAGATACTTTGATTCTCCGGACAGGACTCCATTGTCAAGGAAAAGTGATAACTTTCTTCTCCCCAGAGCAAGAAAGAATGCTGTTACAACCAGGGTTTCACTAAAACCTCCTGTAACCAGCCTATCAGCTCCATCATCATTGTCGTCGTCTTCTGCTATAAGTTCGGAATGCATGTATGATGAGAGCCCTCTATCAGCTTCATGCACATCACCCGAGGAAAAGAGCGTTCCTAAACCGAGCTTCATGAATTTCACTGAGTCAACTAAGGCAAAACAGAAAACATGCAAGTGTTCCTCTCTGATTGGAGATGCCAGAAGCACTTCTGGTTGTGATCCTTCAGTTAATTTTTGGAGAGACTGTTATGCAACGCCTCAAAGGGCAAGCTATCAGAGAAGATACTCCAGGAGATGAAAGGTTTTCATGGAGAAAAACTTGGGTTAAAAGAAAAAAAAAATTAAAGTATTTGTTATCAAGTTTTTGAATAAAAACATAACAGGTGAAAGTCTTCTACAGTTCAACACAATATGATTGAAACTTTCGAAAAATTCTTTCACATGTTTAGTTTTTATTGGAGAACTTGGTTATAATCATCTAACAACTTTACCTAAGGATTGTCTCCCTGAAAATGGGATATAAGTCTGATGTGTCTATTTCTAATTAGTCCAACATCTTGTTGTCCATTGTCACATTGACACATAGTGAGTTGAATGAGTGTACAAGTTTGCAGATAGAGGCTGATTTTAATTAGCAGTGTAGAGATATATCAAAACTGGGTTTTGCATGACATGGCACATTGCTTCCAGTCTGGCGTTTTCTTTCATTTAATTAATGGATATACACATGTTTGTCCTATTCAGGGACTCAAGCATTGAATATATGGGCTGAGTTGTAGATGAGAAATGTCCTTCATTGAAACTATTGAAGAACTCAAACTATTGAAGATCAAATCCATGTAAGACAACTATTCATTGAAAACTGAACTACAACAGTTTGGGCTGGAGATAATTTATTGTTCATTAACTAGCATCAACTCATACTGTGCAAGTGTAAAAAATCCTTAAATGATTGCACCTAAATCCAAAGAAACAATGAATTTACAGTATCATCTAGTGTTGATTCTATGTAAAAATATTAATGTTGATTAGTGAGTGGCATGGAAATGTTATCATCACTGGTGACATATACATAATCTGCAGAAGTTCTATTGCTGAATGGGCGAAAATTGCTTTGAAGTTTGAACCTTAATGTGTTAAAAACAAGTTTTTTCATTGCCTTGAAAGCATTCTTTCACTGCTTAGGAATGCAATGCAACTGATCAACATCAGAGAAAATGCATGTACTACTTCATAATTTTAGAGTGGTTACGTCAAAGCGATGAAGTTTAAGTGAAAATTACATTGCAACTAAAGCTACCCGCTTGGGTTTTAAAAACATCAAATATTTGCATAGTGGTGTTACTGACTACTGAGTCAGTTCTTATTAAAGGAGGAAATCAAAAATAAATCTGCGGCAAATATCAGCAAAAAGAGAAAGTTGCTGGAAAGTTCAATTCAAGATTAGAAATAAGTAAAGCTTTATTATTAGGCATTTCTTTTTCCCATATAGGAAAGAAAGAATAATTAATAGCAAACCATATGTGGTCCACATGAAGGAAATGATAATATATGTAATCATGCAGGATCTCTACTATGGTCCAGAGATGTCCATGAGAGAGGACCACAGTAATGTTGAGCCTCATCAATATCCTTTAACTATTTGTGCATCACTCATTTGTTGAATATAATATATCAACACAAACAAAGGGTTTAAATATTTTTCAGTTTCTAAATAGACTAAACGATGAAATAGTTCGTGGGTCAGTTTCGGAAGGCTGGCCATTTTCTGATAAGGCTTTGGACAGTTTCTACAATCCGTTAAACTTTGACTTGTTTCTACTGCATGGCCTACGTACGTTCATTATAATGAGGTTGTTGCAAGATATCATTTTTTTTTAATGGATTTAGCATATTTACCCCAACTATTTAACTAAATTTGATCTTCCATACATCATTTATTTCTTGCCAATAACTTACATATGATCCCAGCCCATTTTTAGTGTCTAATTCCAACTTAATATATATACTTCATTTCCCCCTCTATTATTGAATGCTTTTTTTTTAAAAAAAATTCATTTACAATGTTAGATAAATTGTTTTATTTTATTATTTATTTAATTATTATTGGAATTTATTTAGTATACCCTTAAATAATGCATATATTTCATAAGGTTAGCCAGATGAGAAGGACAACCATTAGGTGAAGTGAGACATTTTAGGATATATCCTTTTCATGCTATACAATGGCAGTAACAAAAGCCATATCACATTATTATCATATTTAATAAAAGAAATTAAAGCATACGATTGTGTTGTAATATGATAACCCTGAGAGATTTCCAAGGAAGTTCAATAACAAATAAGATAAACAAACCTAATAAATTAGAAATTTAGCTATTTAAACATATCATGCATGACTTAAAGCCTCTGTTTGGTCAGCATGATGGAAAGGTAATAATTTTTCATGGCATGATAAATGAGATATGAATATCTATATATGGATCATATCCCGATAATTATTCAGTAACAACCATTTCTTTATATTATTAATTTTTGTCAAGGAACATATATTGTATATATGACATGTTGCATATAAAGTCTTTTTTTATTTTTTTTTCATCCCACTGTGTTTCCTATCCCATAAACCAAATTAGTCCTAGAGATTTTAAGCACACTCAACATACAAAAAGCCAGATAAATAAACCATATTAATTAAAAATGGACATGCCAGTCATATGTCTTTAGGAAGTATTTTAAGGCATACTCAACATACAAGTAAAGAAGCCAAATTAATTGAAGACAAGAGACAATGCAAGTAAACATATAAGGACATATGTATATACATTAATTCTGATTTATCCAAACCTGGCTTAGGTCACTAGTTATTGGGATTGGGGCTGGGTCTGTGGACAGAGTTCCCACGTGGGAAAATGCGCTAACAAAGGCAAGAAATCAGGATGCCACCAAAAGTTGAAAATTTTTTGTGAATGTGTGAATAGATGGAAGATTCTCTCCCATCCTCAAGCTACTCTGAGAGATATCAGATATAGAAAGCGAAGAGAAAAAAGTGTATAGAGAGAGAGAGAGAGAGAGGGCTTGGGCTTATAGCTTTAATTAATTTGCTTCAAGTTGGAGTAAGTTTTCAAACTTGCTCTCATGGGGGTGTTGCCCTGAATAGAAGGAAGAATAACCCTGTCCCCATGTTCTCTCTCTCTCTGAGATTTCCCTTTTTCTGTGGACCCTCTCTGGTTTTGTTTCTTTGCTTTTTACACTGCACAACACCCATATATATAACGTGTGTGTGTGTGTGTGTGTGTGTGATGCTTATATATTCCATTATCTGCGTTGGCCATACAGATAAGACCAGTGTGGTCCTCATATGCCATACATTGATGCCAATTATTGATTGACTCTATCGATAATTCGAATTTAAGTCGGTTCATTTTTCACCTTTTTATGTCTAATGCCAATTAATTATGATAGGACTTGCCATTTCTTGTCCTTTTGGGTTCAAAAATAAATCCATATCCTACTTTTCTTACCTGCATCATCCATCCAGCTGGAATAAAATAGACTCAAGTTGGTGATGCTACTGCGAGCAAGTAATTAATTAAATAAAGCAAATTATGTGTACACGAAATAAAGTGCACTGGTTTGGAATTTCTAGGCTACCTAGCTAGCTAATTAATCATCTTCACTAAATCTAGCACTTGGAATATTTTTCATCAGTAAAAGTTATCTAGTTATCACGCGTGAGTAGTTCAATATATGATTTCTCTTCTTCAAGCTTAATATTGTGTGTTGCTAATATGATCTCTATATTATATGAGTGTGTACGAGAGTACTAGATCTGTTGTATCAGCTCTTAGCATTTCTAAGAAATCAATACGACAGTTTACAGGAATAATAGCATAAACAAATGAATTTATAACATTTAATTTGAGAAATGATATATAATATGTGACTTGAACATGAGCTTAGGTAAGGTAGAAGCTAAGGTATTGTTGTTTTGTTGTTTTAGGTTTTGGTCGTAGGAGGATGCGCATTAATTTGTACTCACTGAAAGAAAATAATGGGAATTAAAGTGGAGTGAAGGGAAAGAAAAGAAGAGAGAAGAAGAAACAGTTTGACTGAAAATGACCTATACCAAAAAACCAGTCTCGAAAGAGGAGAGGACAAAAGAATTACACAAGAGTCATATGTTGATATGTGAAAATGTGAATAATGAAAGTACTTGAATAGAACAAAAAAAGGGGAAAGAATCCGATAACAAGAGTGGTTTTGATGGCTCAACTAAAAAAAAAAACAAAAACAAAACAAAGGAAAGCTAAAGATGCCAATCCCTTATTAAATGTTGCATGTGCTTCAATTAATGGCGAGTCCTGTTTGGACGCTACCCTTACCCTATACCCTCTTCCTTCTTCTGTAAGCATTCCTCATCAAGCTCTTCTCCTTCTCCTCCTCCTCTTTTTCTTCCTCAAGCAACAATTTTTACATCACCTTCACGTTTGAATTTTTATTATACAACATACACTGACACTCACACTATGCTTCATCAATTAACTTTCTTTTGACATTTTTAACTGTATCTGACAAATAATACTAACCCCTCCAGTTTTATATGTCGATCATTTTTTTTAAAAAAATTATACATAGTCCAGCTTTTAATAAATCATTTTGCAAAAAAAGATGAACAGTTAATTACTTCCTGACAATTTTTTATGAATAGAGTAAAAAGATTTATACAAGAAAAAAAGTGTGTTTTTAAAAAATGATGCTCTTTCTTTTCAGTATCATAAGACACTTTTTCTAAAATATCATGTCAAGAAACGTAATGCATTTTGGTCTTTAAAGATGTAATTAATATAGATTTTCCAAAAAAAATTTAAGTGGGGTGTAATTAAGGAGGTTTTATCCAATTAAATAAAGGTGAACATGCATGGAAAGAATGCGATATCTTAAATCATGTTAACTAACTTCTTTGGGGTGTAAATTAGTTAAAAGTGTCTAATAATAAATGAAGAGAGTACATTTAATAAGAGTAAATTGAAAATGTTTTTTTTTTTTCAGATAACATCAATAATTTAAAGTAACTTATGCATAGAACCGGAAGGAAGGAGTAACATTCACTTAGTGTTAATTAATACATGATAAAGGAAGTTGATATTATAGATCAACAACATTAGAGAAAACTTTATCTCGCAGTTTTGAATATTTTACAAATTACAATGGATTCCATGCTGGATTGCTTGGTTGCCTTGTTTGAAGAGCTGATGGAATATCTTAAAGGCAAATTTGATTCTGTTAGCGAAAGTTGGATCGAAAATCAATTTGAAGGAATCAATTTGAAGATAAAGTGATATCATGCATAAAGAGTAAACGAATATGCTGGCTAATTGAGCACAATAAATGATAAAAAGTGAAATGAATATTACTGTATACTGATTTAATCACTTCTGATGAGAATGTTATGAGAGCAAGCCTTTGGAAGACAGGCTGATCGCCAATCATCATATGTAGAGAATGTTCAATGCATGGCTTTTAATTACCCAATCATGACCAGTATTACCAAAAGTGATTATTATATATATACATCCTTATTAAGTTTAATGAAAGATTAACAAGTATCATTAGCCACTAATCAAGAACCAATACATATATATAGAGAGAGAGAGTTTAGCTGATCTGATGAGAAGTATAATTTTGATAGGAAGTGAAAGAAGAGACAGAGAAAAAAGATCAAAATGTGTTGCATTTTTTGGAGACTAGCTAGCTAAGAGGGATGATGCAGAAGATGA